TATGACATTCTATGAACCCAGAAGCATCCAGTTTTGTGAGTTTTTCTGCAGGCGAAATCACATTCATCTTCCCCTCCCATCGAATCATGTTTCTCCCATCTTCAGCTGTGCTTTACGCTGGTGGGAACGGCAGGAAGCGCCCAGTTCCGGCCCCAGTTCCGTCCACGGAGGGCGTTCGCTCCGACCATTCGACCCGTGACAGGGCCGCGAACGCCTGGACCCTGAAGTGCCGCAGCTGTTGAGGGAGCTGAAAGTAGTGCACCATGCAGCCCAGGGCCACCTGAAAACGATTTAAACAGAAGCTCTTATTTACAGAAAAGAACGAGGCTCCAATCCTTTATTTTACGGATTCTTGGGGTTGGATCATTTTGGATCCCCCTTCCCCCCTCTGTGAGGGATACAAGTGATAAAAAACAAGGCATGCATGCAGCTGGCGGCTAGCGTTTTGACATCTCATTGCAGGAATGTATTGGGTGGTTCACCTTGCCTCCTCCACCTTAGTCACGGACCGGACTCAGTACCCTTGTGTATGGCGAACGGTGATCACAGTACGCTTGGTGATCACCACACGTCATCATGATCTGCCGTCATGCCCAAGTCACATAGAGCGCAACGGGCAAGAAGACGCCACCGTGGCCCACCAACTCAACAAAAACGCGGTCCTGCAACCACTCCTGAGCTCGGAGAGTCGGAATGTTTGTGTTGTCAGCAAGGAAAAGCGACTTGAGAGCGCTGTAAGTCGCAAGGTTCTGGTGTTTTTGGGATGCACACATTTGATGGTGTGCAAGCATGTTCCACGTGTTGTTTTAAAGCAAGTGTTTTCGTCCATTCTTGCTCGCTACAAACACATATGAAAGAATCATTTCACACCTCACACATCCGATCCTTCATCTGACCTTACATGAATATACATGAATATGAATGGGCAAAATACTATTATATTATATGCTTTCTCGATGTGCTGGTGGCCTGTGCGGTGATTCTGAGTGCTCACTTGGGTTGTTCTTCGTTGTCAGGTCGTTCTGGTTTGTTCGCCCCAGCGGCACTGGGGACGCCCCAGTCCAACCAACTTCAAATGTTCAGGAACACTTTTGCCCATCTTTGCTCTGGAAAATCCAAATTCAATTGTTGGACGCCGGGCGGGGCGCTGGAAACGCCCAATTCAATGCGTAAACCTGCGGCAGCCCCTCACTCCTGGCCCACTCCTTTCTGCGACTTGTCTGCGGCAGAAGGCTCGGTGATGTCGAGTAACCACGTCAAATACTTCATCAAAAAGCCGCTGCACGCCTGAATGGAGGCCTCGGACGGACAGTGACCGGGCCGTGAGTGCTTGCGGGGAGTGACCTGACGAGTTGGACGACACGAGTTGAGGCGGATTGGGCGAGGAAGGCGGACTGGTTCTTTGGATTTGGCAACTTCGATTTTGGCTCCTTAAGATGGTACTCATAGAGAAAGTTGGCCTCTGATGCCAATTGACGTGTACACTGTACAAGCTGCAAGAGGTACTTCAACCTCAGTACCTGCCAAAGGCAGTGGCCCAAGGGCTAGGCCACATACCATTCTAAATCATTCTAAGTATTCCTAAGGCCTTTTTTGATATGCATCATGAGGTTTTCGCTTTCTTTCGCTGCTAGACATCTTCAATATCACCCACGTTAACGAGTCTTCCAGCTCTCCAACGCCACAGATCCAAAAAGCTCAGGGTTCCCAAACCCCCCACAATCAGAGCTTTCAGTTCTCACCGGCACATAGCAAGAACTACATTCTGAAATTATGTGAAAAAAACAAGTTTTGGCAAAGATCGCTCAGATCACGACCCAGGTGCAATAAGCAGCAACAAGGCCATCTTCACGGGGATGAGTTCAATCGCTTTATGGCGCTCCCCCTCCAAGTAGGAAGCGACTTCGTAGGTGCACCACAAGCGAGAGAAATACCTCACGTGTATGTGTGTTTGTGTGTGTGTGGCCTTTTGGGGGGGGGGGCGTCTTCGGGAAGACCAGCGACGCAGCCACGCGATCCCATAGGGGAAAGTGCAGGGTTGGCGGGACTCATAGTGATGGTTGGCTTGGTTGAAGAACTGGTAAGCACAAAGTAAATTCACATCATGGGGGTCTGTTCGGTCCGAGAAAGGAGATTCAAACACAATTGTTTTGCGTTGGTGCTTGAACCTCTTGAACAGTTGATGTGCCAAACAGGAAGGAAGGACACTGCAAAGCCAGCTTGCTCACTTCATCCCTCGTTCACATCATGCTTAATTACACCGTCGACCGGTCGCGATCGGTCCTATGTTTTATGTTGTGAATGCAACAACTCAACTTCCGTCGCACCGATCAAACATTTAGGCAGCCGTAGAAGTGGGGTTAACACAATGAACAAAATGATCTATAGACTTATCACCTCTTCACAGGGCCTCAGGATGCCTCAAGGTCGCTCCTGACTGGGCACACCTTGATATTTCCCAGAACCTTAGGCCAGTTGGGCCCCCCAAAATCTAGGTCGATCCGTTGGGCGTTTGTTTTCCCTCGACGCGCGGGTGCGCGCGCGCTAAGACTGCATTTCGTCGGGGCTGCCGCTCCGACCACAAGACGGTGAGGGTGTTGGAAGAGGCCAGGAAGCTGCCCAGGCCACGAATTCCTTGTTCCTTGGCCGGGTCATGCCATGTCACGGATGGATTTGAGACAACAAAAGTTTGTTGGTCACGATCAAAGGATCAGCCGTTGTGTGTATGTGTGTGTGT